AGAGAAAAACACAACCCACAGAGTGGGAAAAACTTTAGCCAATTGTCCTTTAGACAAAAAACTTCCATCCAGAACACATAAACAATTGAAAATCCCCCCCATTCAAAGACCCAATCCAAAAATGAGCATCTGAGATGAACATACACTTTTCAGATGAAGAGATATAAATGACTAATAAATATATGAAAAAATGTTCAAGGTCATGGGTCATTCAAGAGATGAAAATTAAAACAACACTGAGATTCCAACTCTGTTCAGAAAGAATGGCTAACATCAAGAAAACGCAACTAATAGCAAATGCTGGGGGGGCTGTAGGGAAAAAGAAACCCTTCTCCACTGCTGGTAGGAGTGTAGACTGATATAGCCATTGAGGAAATCTGTAGCGAGATTCCTCAAAAAACTAGGATTAAAAAAGGGTGTGATTAGAGGTCCCATTCAACCCAGCTATTCCTTTTCTGGTTATCTTGCCAAAAGAATTAGAAGTATCACACCACAACGATATTGCATCTACGTTTATAGCTACACCTATGTGCATCTATGTTTATAGCAGCACAATTTCATACAGCTAAATCTTGGAAGCAACACAAATGCCCATCAATCAAGGAATGGTTAAAAAAGTGGTCTATTTATCTAATGGAATACTAGTCAATCATAAATAAAGATAAACTGGAAAATTTTATATGTAAATGGATGAAACTCAAGACCATACTCGTAAGTGAAATAAATCAGACTCACTTGTGTAAACGTCATGTTGTTTCCCTGGTATGGGAAACTGAAAGAGTGAAAAGGTCTAAAAGGTACAGATATTGTGAAAAGGGAAGAACTCATTCAAAAGGAAAAAGGAACTGGGTTTGGAGAAAGGAGACGTGAAGGAAGGGAAAAGGGAAGAACTTGGAAGTTAGACATCCTGCTATTGTCTCTGGGTTCATTGAAAAGGAAGGTTCGTGCTAATTTCCACTGGAGAATTTATCGTGCCCAGATCTTGTACACTGAGGAGCTGCTTTAAAGACAGCAATATGCAATGCATTAACAACTGTTATTCTCCTATTATTTTGCTGTGAATTTTTCCCCGTAAAATAAAATATACATACCCTTTTTAAGAATTGAGGCAGTGGGAATTGAATCTTGGGAGCTGTGGGCTACCTGCACTCCCCCATCCCCAACACACTATCTTTCCTTCTTCTCCTGCTCTTCTCCCCCTAAAGAAAACTACACCCACCAAGAGAAAATAAAAGCAAATCTGTGACCCCCACTTTTTCATTTATGTATTTGGTGCAGGGTCTCACTACACAGCTCAGACTTGTTGTGATCCTCCTGTTTTCAGCCTCCCCAGTGCTGGGACTACAGGCATGTGCTACCATGTCCGGATTTGGTCTCTGCCTCGGTGTGCCCCAGGGGCAGGGCTGGTGTGGCATGCGGGACCCTGGTCCCTGTGCTTGCCAAAGCAGGCACTCAGTCTGCTGGGCTGTCTCGCTGGCCTTGGGACCCCTTTCTTTTCCTGCCTATTGCTGCTGCTTTGTGAGGCTTATGTTCCTGTGGGCTGCTGGAGAGCAATGTGCTTCCAATGTGAAAGACCTAGCGAGAGGCCAGGTGCACGTAGGCACTCAGACGCGGCATCCCACCTTCTAGTTACCCCAGTACCCACACCAAGCCGGGTCTACTGAGAACCTTAGTGCTGTTGGAAATTGGTTGTGACACAGCCCCCCTAACTCCGCCCTCGCACAGAGCATGCAGACCAAGCATGGAACCTTTAGGCACTGTGTCTTGTTTGCTCAGGATTTCAGACTATGTTCAAATCTCCCCTCAAGCCCATAGAACATTTACTAGGCTTTTAGCTGTTGCTGCATTAGGTTGACGTACTCATTTGGTGATAAAGCTAAAACACTGCCAGTTTGTATGAAACTGACTCCTGGGTTAAGTAGAAAATGCGACATGTCCACTGAGTTGGATCAGATAAAACATTTCTCTGAGTCTTGTAAAAATGAGCACAGCTTTTAAAATATTGACAGGACGTTTACGTGGCATTCAGAGCAACTTAGACAAAATGTGCCCACACCCTATGTGTATTCTTTCTGGATGAGCCAACTATTACAGGCCACAGGACTTACATACCTGGAAGAACGCAAGCTCCTAGGACATCCTGGGGCCTTACAGTGAACGTCATTGCCGATGATTCCATCGCATTTCTCAATTATTACCAGATTTTGAGTACTGATTCTTAATTTCTAAAATCCCAAAATGACAACAAAAACATGAAAAGAAAGTAGCTGTCCTGTCCATATTCTGACACCAAATAAAGCCTGAAGTCTAAGTTTTTGTTTGCTACGATGTATTTTAAACACCCACATCTGTCTACACTGACACGCACACAGACCATGGATTCTTTAGGGGTCCCTTTGCCAATGGACGTGAAGGTTGATTCCATATTTTGATGATTGTCAATGGTGCTGCTGAAACATGAAATCTTGGCATTCCCATCTCATTTCTTTTCAAAATATCCATATGTGGAGCTCCTGAATCCCATGGTAGATTTACCGTTAATGTTTGGAGGAACTTGGGCACTGCTTTCTTCAGCAGCTGTACCAGTTTCTGTTCCCAGCAGCAGTAGGCAAGTTCCTTTCCCTCATAGCCATGCCAGGGCTTACTTCCATGGGAGATGATACTTCATTGTATATTTGATTTGCATTTTCCTAACAATTAGTGATGTCCACCACTTTTTCACCGTGGCTCTTGGATGTCTTGTTTGAAAAATCTATTCCAGTCCTGTGCCTATTCTTTACCTATGTATTGACTTGGTTTTTGGTTTGTTATTGAGTTGTATGTTAATTGTTTGTTTTGATCCTTACTGATTGGGCATTTGAAAAACCATTAAAATGGGTAGTAAGAAAGGTGCAAGCCGTCGTTCATATGAATGTACTTTCAGTATCCATTCCACATATCTGTGTAAAGTGGGAGAAGTTAACAAGATTTAAAGGGTAGAAGAAAAAGAGTTTCCTCTTGTGTAAAGGCAGAGATAGAGCAAAAGAATAAGAAATTCCCAAATTTGTAGAGTTCTGTGTAACTGGAGCCTCAGAGTTTGAGGGTCTGAACCAGCTGGACCTTCATTGGTAGAGAGACCAGCTTATATCTTCTGGGATGGGTTAAAGGAATTTTTTTTTCCTCTGATGGAAATGGGAGATTATTGGAGAGTTTTCCAGGTAGGTGATGATCATGTGCTTATGAGAGAGCTTTCTGGGCAGTGGCTGGAAAATGGATCACTGACCGGGTCCACGGAGAGGCCGCTGTAGCAATCGCAGGGGAAGCGGTCATGATGTGGAGGTTGGAGAGTGGGAGTGGGCCGCAGGGAGCTCAGAGGGTGGCACTGATGAGATGGGGGTTTAAGGGAAGCTGCGCAGAGGAAAAGCTCTTATCAGTCAGTGGAGAGCAGGAGATGGTGAGGAGCTGGGGACGAGTCCCAGGGACAGCTGAGCGCACATCCTGCCACGGGAAGGCCTCACGGGCAGCATGGAGTGAACACTGGCATTTGCTAATGAACCTACACATGCAGTCTCAATGATCATATGACAATTATGTTACCCTGCATAATTGACCAGTGACATAAGTAACATCACCTTATTAATCCCATGGTATTTTTCAACAAATTAAAAAATAAATTATAAGTTAAACTTTTCTCCAGGTCTCCTAGTTAAAAATTAGATCAATACTAAAACCCTGGCATTCTAGCCGAAGGCCACCAGACCCTGGTGAAATTATCAGTGTTGCTAATCGCTCCGTTCTAAGTTCTCAGATCCCTACTCTGGGTCAGCCCTTGACATCCCCTTCCTAACGAAGTCAGTGTTATCTTCTCCAGTCTTCAAACGAAGAAAGCGAGATTGGAGAAATTAAATATATCGTGGGGCCAAACGAAGGCTGCAGTGTGGCTCAAGAGCTGTGGGCAGCAGGATCCATCCAGCTCACAGACTGGAGGTGGTTTATTTTTTCAAGCGGAGATGATAGGCAAGGATGTGCAGAATCGAATGAACAGCCATTTATTCAACTTGCTGACAAGTGAACCAACCATTCTTTAAGATTCTTTTTTTTTTTCATTCTTTAAGATTCTAAATGTAGCCTTCTTCGTTTAGGTAAGAGCTTTGCCAAAGTGGATTCTCAGAGGTTTTTTAACCAAAAAATACACATTATTTGGTTGTTTGGAATTATAGTGTCGGCTTTCTATGAGAAATACATGCTGTGAACAGCAATCTTAGACCTAGGTGCGGGGTAGGAAGGGAGAGTCTAGCTGGAGAAACTCCCTGGAGTCAGGGAGAGAAGCTGTCTCTGTCTTTTCTAGTCTGTTCTGCGGGAGCAAGAAGACAATGCATTGTGTCAAGCGGAGCTCCCAGTAGCTCACTAGCCTCATGAAGGAAGCTACTGTCCTCAGAAAACCTTACAAAGGATACTTAAACAGTTTGCTTAGAGTCCTAGACCTGCTATACCAGGAGTCAAAGCCGGGGCACGAGCACTGCACTATTAAGTGTGAGTTCCCTGCACCGTGACACAGGTGTTGTTTTCTGTACTGGAACCTTAATCAGATGGGGTTTTTCAGTCTAGAGAGGTTGTCCTTAGTGTGCTGAGAGTTTACGACTTGCTCTGCGTCAGTCAGTCAGTCAGTCAGTCAGTCAGTCAGTCAGGGGCAAAGCAGAGGCTGAGGTTCACACTTGGCTGCTGCCTGAGGCTGTGAGGCGCCACCAGGGCTCCCCAGAGAGGGGCTGTTTATTGTCGCATAGGCCTGGCCAACGGTCAGTCATGGTGCTCTGAAGGGACACCGTCCCCGGCCATGGTCATAAAAGCACACTGAAGAATGTCACAGCGCAAACTACGAGCTTAGCAAACACTATTAAAATGCCTGCTGACCAGTAAACCACCTGGAAAGCTTGCATAAATTGGTCAAGAAGGTGAGGGTGGCCTCAGAACGTGACTGGGCCGTGCACACCACATCGGCTTCCCTTTGGGGCCTCAGCGACATGAAGGGCTCGGCGCTCACCCCGCTTCTACTCTGTGTCCTGTTTGCCACCTCGGAAGTGAGGAGCAAGGACACCGTGAGGCTCTGTGGCCTGGACTACGTCAGGACAGTCGTCTACATCTGCGCCACCGCCCGCTGGCGAAGGCAGGCAGAGGGGACCCCTCCGGACCTGCGAGGTAACATCATTCATCGGTGCTCCCCCTTTATGAATCTCTCTTCTTTAAAAAAAAAATTAAAAGCAATTATCCATTGTCTATTTCTCAAAGACAAGCTGCTGCTCTATCAGCTTGGGGGGGTGCATTATCAAACTAAATGAAAATTGGCTCTGCGGTGAGGTGCGCTGGTGCTCCGCAGCTTTCTCTGAGGTCCCTCAACTGCAGGCCGCCTCCATGGGCTCAGGCCTGTAGCAGGCCCGTTGGCCGGGCCTATGGGAAGGTGCAGGGGCAGAAGAGGCAGAGCGCCTCGGGAGAGGTGGAGACCTGCGGAGCATCATCAGCAGGGCGAGCTCAGGTGGGTGCCAGGTAAGGACGGGAGAAGGAATCTGCCTTCTAGGCCGCATTTCCTAAGAGCCAGGCAGCAGCTTTCGGAGGATATTTGGAGCAGACGTGATGCCATCACTGTTTGTCACCTCCCCACGGAGCCACCGTTCACCCACGGGCCAGCAGTGTGGCGGGAAGCGAACCGGGGCCGCCAGGCTGGGAGGCCTAAGCTCCGCTCAGCCCTGCCAAGGCCCCAGGGGACAGGAGGGCTGCTGCATGGTGAGGCTGGTGACACAGGACTGAGGCCCCACAGACCCCGCGAAACTGGGGAGTAGTGAGGTGCTGTGGGCCCTCTACCAGGAGGAGCGTCCAGGGCCGGAAGGAGCTGAATGTGTCTAGGCTGTCCCCGGGACCCCTGCACTGCTTTAGATTTTGAATTCAAGTAACTTAGAAGTTTGGCTAGAATCCCTTCCTCTGATGCAATATAAAGTGTAAGAGTCTATTATTATTTCTTTCATTGACCAGGTTGTGTATATTTATCTCTTACAGTGGTGTTTTAAGTGCTGTATACACTGAGGAGCGGTAAGACTGAGCTAAGCACCACATACCTCACCCCACATACGTGGTTTCTCTTTTCTGATAAAACACTTAACATCTACCATCATGGCAGCTTTCAAGAATGCAATACATTGCTATTAACTACATTCACCGTGTTGTACAGTGGAGCTCTTTAACATAGTTCCTTTATATAACAGGACATTTGACATTCTTTGGCTGGCAGCCCCCAACCCCTGAGCCCCACCCCAGATCCAGGTCGCTGTCCTCCTCCTCTCCTCAGTGAGGCCAGTTTTTGAGGTTCCACAAAGGAATCACATCACGCAGATTTGTCTTTCCGTACCTCCCTTCACAGAGACTCTGTTTCTGTAAGTGATTTTATTGCCTAAATTTGTAATCAAGAATTTGAAGAACCGGTTACACAATATACACTGCAACCACACAGATGATTGTACAGATTGCAATTTGACTTAAAATGAACTTGGTAAGCGAAATGACTTAGCAAATGACCCACAGTGTTCATATTTTTGCGGGCTAATTTGTTGACATATGAACCCGCGACTACCGTGGCACAACTGAGGTACCTATTATGGTATATTAACAGGAATAGTGATGTTTTTATCTTAAGAGAACAAGTGTAATTCACCAGGATGTATACTAATCTCTGGAATAATGACACCAAGGTGCCCTAGGAAAAAAAAATAAAACACACACATGAAAGAGCTCCGAAATTAAGAATCTGTGATGGATAGAAGTGTGGAACTGTGTATGTTTATACCAGTAACACCTGAAGTCCTATGCACTACGCATTCAACCTTTCACAAGTTTCCATTCTTATCGTACTCCAGGGCCGTCTGAGTTACATCTGCGCCCCCACTCCCATCTTTGAGGCAGGGTCTTTCTAAGTTGTCCCAGCTGGGCTACAATTTTCCATTCTCCTGCTTCAGCCTCAGCTATCCGATTCAGGTCTCCGAGAGCAGAACGTGGCGGCTGCCATCCTGGCCTGGAAGGCAGTAAGTACAGCAGATATTGTTTTCCTCTTTCCTACAGCTGAGAAAAAAAACTACATCCAGCTTCGAAATAGACACGAGGCTTCCGAGGACAGCCTAGCGCGCAACCTTGCTGAGGTGGATTTCTCAGGAGAAGAGCTTGTTCGGGACAGGCAGACGTCTGAGGGGGCGCCGCGGGGGACAGAGAAGCACGTGGTGGTGTCGAGACGGGACCTGCAGACGGTGTGCTGCACCGAGGGCTGCTCCATGGCTGAGCTGAGCGCGCTCTGTTAGCCGAGCACAGACTGAGTGACTGGCAGCCCAAGCCCTGGCTTACCCACACGATTCCAGCCCTCCTGTCGCTTAAATGATGGCTTGGGAGCAGGCAGTCCTTTCCCAAAATGTCTTAGAATGGCTGAAGCCACCGCGAAGCCTTTCTTCTCCCTCTGCCAGGCGAATGCTCTCTTCGTTTCAAATTCTAGCTAATGTTTTGAAATCGCAATAAAGATACAATTAAATCAAGCTCATGGTAACTCATTTTCTTTTTTTAAAAAAAGCTTCTCAGCAGTAGACAGACAATGCTGATCCTTGGGAGACCTACAACATATGCATTACCAAGAAAGCAAAATCTGGGTGATGCCATCTCATCACCAGAAGTGACTAGTCACTCTTAACGTTTGGGTTGCAGTGTGTCCCTGAAAATGGAAACACTGATCTGTGGTCAGGTGCCAGAACCTCAGGAGTGTTTTTCTCAAAGGACCCGAGAATGCTCAGTATAGGTTTCCTAATATGTCGCTTGACCTTGAAACAACCGGGGTCACTCAGGGTCCGGTCAGTCCCACGCGCGGTGGGAACTCAGGGTCTGAGACCTGGGCTCCTTCCTGTCTCCTTTTGCCTCTCTCCTGCACGGATAAAAGGAAATTCTGCTCTTATTCTTGAGAAACTAAGACCCCATAGCTAAGACATTATTATGCAAGTGGGTGTCTTTCCAGGTAAGAAAACAAAGTAAGGATACCACATACAGTGCTCTCCTTTCTCAGGTGCCAGCCGGGCCCTGCAGAGTGGCAGTGACCGGGCTGCATGTTCATGCCCTGGAGTGACTGACCTCCGCTGCTCCATAGCAGTCCCTGTGTCAAGGCGCCGCGCGCGATACTTCACCTTCCCTCCACACAACTCTTCAGTAAAGTTGTGGATGAGCAGGATGGGGAAACTGAGGCTGCATAGAATTAAGTAACTGCCTTCCAAGTCCCACAGCTCAGTGGGTGGAGTTTGACTGGAACCAAACGTACATGGGCCCACATGAATCAGGGCAGTTGCGGGAATGTGGCAGTGGCCAATGTTGTCTTTACTGCCAGGCACTTTCAGTTAAAACCAAAACAGAAAAAATACAGCTTCCTGATGAATGTGCTGATTAGGTAAGTCCCAGTCCTCGAGCGCGAGTCTGCTCAGCGCTGGGATGCCGCAACAGGAAGACTGCAGGGCACATTCTCGCAGACGCTGGTCTCGACAGGACCCCTTGGGTGGTGGCGTTGACGAGCTTAAATGAACTGCTTTCTTTCCAATAAACATTCTTTTATTATTATTATTAAAGAAAGCCCTTAAAGCCACCATTATTTAGATTTTAGTTTTTAAATTAAATGAAATGGTTTGAAAGTGAGCAAAATGAGCCTGTCACTTTACAGAAAGGAAATGATGATAATTGTTCCTGAGATGACACAATTCAAATTTTCAGGCAATTGTGGTTAACTTTTACCCATTTCTGTGGGCACCAGCGCTGATTGTTTTTTTGTTTTTTTGCTTTTTTGGTGGTATCAAGGATCAAACTCAGGACCTTGTGCTTGTTCCACTGAGCTGTCTCCCTGGCCCCACCAGTGCTGATCTTAACGAAACTGCAATTTTCAATTAAAAAACCCATATGTTAAACTCTGATATAGTATTATTAAAAGAAGGCAAAATATATTTGAAAAAGTTATTGAAATAATCTTTTCTAATTCTGTATAGTACTTATGTATGACCAGATTTCTTTATTGTGTGTCAACCAACACAAATAGCAGATGGAAGGAGGAAGTCAGTTTGGGAATTGAACCATATTTTATTCAGTCAGCCATGAGAGACTTGTAGAAAATAGAAGGCAGGGTTCCCTTCCTGCTCAACATTTTTGGTTTGTAAAAATACAGCTTTCATAAAACATGTTATTTGTGTTAACACGGGTGGATTTATTATTTAAAATGAGTTAATATTTTCAAATTTGTTAGTTTTAAGTCAACAACAAAAGCTGTTGATGGATTCAATCTACATAAACAAAAGCTCTTTGAAGTTCTTAATAATTTTGAAGAGTGTAACAGGGTTCAGAGACCCAAAGGCTTGTGAAGTGCTGTTTTATAACATCGCTATAGTTCTTGGAAGTCTCATCAATAGATATTCAGATTGTTTGCCACATTTGCAATTACAAAGAAGATGCACTGGTAAATGTCATTCGTTTATCTTTATCTTCTGACTCATGTCTGTGGGATACCGGACCACATTGCTGGGGAAAGAAGTACGTATGTGCTATTTATTATTCAGTGTATCTTATTTATAGTTATTGGATATTATAAATGTATTCCTAGAATTTAAGTACAAAGAGAAACAAGCAAAGTGAGGTCTATTAATCTTGAAGAAGTGCTAGCTTGTAGTAGTGACGTTTGTTGATACTCCTAATGACCTGGGAGGCTGAGCCAGGGGATTTTGAGTTTGAAGCCAACCTTGACAAATAAGAAAGACCCTGACTCAAAACATTCAAAGGCAGGGGACTGGAGATGTAGTTCTGTGATAGACTGGATGTAGGTTTGGCATCTAGTCTCCTCCAAAAAAGGAGAGGGAAAAGGAAGGAAGAAAGAAAGAAAGAAAGAAAGAAAGAAAGAAAGAAAGAAAGAAAGAAAGAAAAAAGTTCTACAGTCACGTTTGTGGGGGAAATGGTAACATGTTCCTAAAATTAGAAAACTCTAACTGTTCAAGAGGACTCAAAAACAAAATGCCTTACTTAAAAATATAACCCACATGAGTAGTTTTGTGTTTTTTCTTTCAGAAACAAAAATCATGTTTATGCTGAATTTATGTAGTTCAGCTCCAACACAGCCAGACAGCTTTCATTCTGTGTCTCTGTCTGTCTCTCTTGTAACCTCACAGGTCCCCAGCAGAACAATGTAATAAGTACTTGCCTGGCAAGCACAAGGTCCTGAGTTCGATCCCTGGTATCACGGAAAAAAAAAAAGGAACAGAATTTTGGGGGGCTGGGGAGATGGCTCAGTAGAATAAGCACTTACCTGGCAAGTGCAAGGGCCTGAGTTCAATCCTCAGTTCTGAAAAAAAAAAAAAAAAAAAAAAAAAAAAAAGAACTTCTCTTCTTCTTGGCATCCAGGGAGATCACACCTCTCAGCCTCCTCTGCGGTTGTGTGTGGTCACGTGACTGAGATGCAGACAATTGACAGGAGTAGCAGCGACAGCAACCACTTCCAAGATTTTTGCAAAACCTCCCACTCTCTCCCACCACTTGCTTTCTTTGGTGCTGGAGAGCAGACCCAGCTCCTTGTGCATGCTAGGCACGGGCTCTACTGTGAGCTGTAACTATTGCCTTGTTTTCTGTTCAAATCTACTAGTACGTAGGTGTTACCTACTCTCATACACTATATACTGATACTACCATCCTAGTTCATAGCGTAAGAAATCACGCATACTCTTTTACCCGCCACTGTTACTGTATTTAATAGATCTTGAAGACATTTCAATACATGCATTTTCCAGTGCAAGTCATATCAAGGCATGACCATCTGTGTGAATTTACATTTCAGCCAGAAATTTGTGTGCAGTGATTTCTGTCCATCTTCATCAGTCCAAGATGCTATCGTCCTTCAAAATCCACAGCTCTTAAAGATGAACTCTTGACTGTCATTTGGGGCTGAGCTTGCATTATGTCATCTACGCGCGGTCACCTTGCCATCACTGGCCACTCTCATTTCCTCTTCTATAACTTAGTCTGCTTATACTCCTTGCCCAGCTTTTTATTTCTTTATAATAGCTGTCAGTTTTCAAAGCTCTTTTTTTATTAAGGGCATTAACTTTGTGCGCATTGCCTGCGGAAGGTTCCCTCCCCCAGTGCTTTTCTGTCTTGACTTACCTTATTCCGGAAGACTATTTGCATACAGTGTCTACCTTTTCCTCTACAGTTCCTGGGTTTCCTGTTTGCTTAGGAAGATCTCTCTGGATGCACGACTGTACGGGATTCTCTTAAGTTTTATTCTTTTTTTTAATTGAGAAACAAATATCAATGAGACAGTTTCAAAACTGATTAATAGGACAGTTTCAATAATTAATACATTGCACATTGTTATCTTCTTAGCGGTTATCCATAGTACAAGAAGCAGACAGAACAGGCTGTCCAAACACTATTAGTATAAATCTTTTTTCTCATTGAATTAAGCTTAAGTTTTATTCTAAGAAGCATCTTGTTTATATTTTGTATTGACAAGAATCGGGAAGTGTTCCCTTTCCCTAATCTCTGAATGTTTAGGGTTGGAGTATTTCTTTAAATAAATGAGTCCTTAGATGACTTGTACTTGTGCTTTTAAACTGGATTCAACCAGCCTGTTAGCTTTGTATTTAAGAAAATTTTCTTTAGCAATTCTGCCAAGGTATAGTAAAGCAAAATATGAATGCAAATTTACTTGTATAATTAACCAATAATTAACCAATGGCATGTAGCTTACTTTTATGTTCACCTTCAAGAGGAAGCAGATCTCTAAACTTAGTATTTCTCATGTGAATTTGAAAACAGTTTCTCAGCATCCCACAGCGGTTCAGGCCAAGGCCTGCCCCTTCGGCGGCTGGATGACCCACCGACCCGGCCGTCTGGGGGAAGCTTCGTCGCTGCGTGCAGATCCCCGCCTGAGGCGAGGCCGGGCTGCTGTCCTGTTCCGCTGGCTCCTTGCTTTACTAGGTAGGCAAGCAGCCTGGCGGGCGCGTGGAGAGCCGCAGGCTTCAAGTTACAGCACATCCTACAAAAAGAAGGAGAGGACAAGACAAGAAAACGTGCACCTGAGTTAAACTGGCAAGGGAAGAAACTGAAAAGTGACGAGGGGAGACTTTCATCAGGTACCTAACAGATTTAAATCGCGATAAACATCTAGCGGTTTGCACTCCTGAGTGTGAAGAAGAGAAAACCCCGATGCCAGCGGACCCAAGACAGGAAAGGCAGGTCGCAGTGGGTGGAAGATTCCAACGACCCAGGAGCGTACTGCCGTGCATGCGACAACACC